AATCTCTTTTATGTGTATTTTTCCCTGCCTCATACTTTCATTAACTGGAAAAAAAGAGAATAAAGTTCCATTTACAACACCACTGCAGCCATGCAGGATCCTTGCTTGACTGATGTTCTTCTAATGAATTATATGTATTGTAAATAAGTACCGAAAACTAGCCCAAGGTCTTAACCATTAATTTTTCATTAATGAAATGCACCACTTAGCTTGTTTGACACTTAAGTGATTCCCATAAATTTAAAATAGAGGTCACCATAAGGAAAGCATTTGAAAGTGCCATTGAGGGAACAAGATAATGAACTATTCACCCTTCCTCAAGCACTTCTAAATTCACAGGCTAGACAGTTGTAAAATTTGAAAATGAGAAATATTTTAATTCTTAAAGTAGATGCCAAGATTTAATGAAAAAAATAAGTACTCTAGTAAGTGAGCTTTTTCTTAGGGGTTTTTTCTTCTCTTCTGCTTTTCTCTCCTTTTACATTCTACAGCAGGAAAATTCTAATGCCTGATTTAGCTAAGTATGTCATGAAAAAATAATAACACCTATATAAGAGAGGAGCAAAGGATAGAGTGGGCTTGGAGCTAACCTGTAACATCCTGCTTTGGCTGATTGCAATTGATGGTGGGGCTTGTGAGGTCATTGCTAATAGGCAATATCTCTTTCATGTTCCAGAGAGAGGGCAGCTTTGACTCTGCTTTCTCACAGGAAATCTCTGCAATACAGGCCTCGATCTAGGCATCATTTTCTGCTACTCAGCTACACATTGCTAAACAGTAGTTTCTCCTAGCTATATCAGGCAGGTCACTTGCTGATGTCGTTACAATACTACAATTAGGTAACAGACTTGAATCGAAACCCTCTGGGCCCGAAAGTAAAGCTGAAACATTGATAGTTCCCTCCAGATCAAAATTTATGGGAGCAGCCAAGTGAAAAAACCAAAAACCCATAACCAACAGTAATAAAAACAAAACTACAGCAAAACAAAAACAAACAAACAAAAACAACAACAAAACAAAAAACAAGGACCAAAAAAAAGCAACAACAACATGGAGGACAGCACAAGTAACCAGAAACCCTCTTTTGGGCAGAAATAATCCTACCTACCCTAAAAGCCTGTCTGCTTATCAAGACTGTTGTGAAGGTTGGCATGTCAGAGTACAGCCCAACAATAGCCAGTCTGAGGCAAGATCTGTGCTGTGCTTGCAGCAACCTGGTGCTGCAGTAGTGGTGCAGAGATTGGCCCCCAGGAGGCACAGGGGACTATTTCACTGAGTTGTTTCCTATTTTCACTAAGGATCTGGCTTTGGCACAATGTAAATATGATGGATGAAGCCAAAAATACCATGGTCCTTCCTGTGGATTTTCTTTCAAAAAAACCCCAAAACCCAACAAAAAAGAGAAATATATAGAATACAACAGTTCAATTGTCAGGGTCCTACAAGAGCCTTTACTCTCCCATTACATAAATGATCCCCAATGTGTTGTCTGAACCTACCCTTTCACAGCTTTGAACCATTCCCACACATGTTGCTGAAGGATACCAAGGAGAAGAGCTCAGCACCTCCCCAGAGCACAGTGAAGTTGTCCCTCAGCCTACTTTCCTCCAAAGTAGACAAGCCTAGTGTACCCAGCTGCACCTTATAGGGCATTCCTCCAGCCCTCTCACCAGCTTTGTTGCCCTTCTCTGAACATATTCAAGGACCTCCATATCCTTCTTAAAGTGTGGAGTGCAGAACTGCACAGAGTACTTGAGGTGAGACTGCACCAGTGCTGCAAGGATGATCACCTCTTCTGGCCACCTGGTTACATTGTGTGGGCATTTTTTCCAGTACTTTGGAAATGTTAAATTTGCAATGTAAACAGAGATCTGAGGTGTCCTTTATATTGCCTTGCATAGCTACTGGATTGAAGAGGCACTGGATTTTTGGAAGCATTCCTTATCAAGAGTTGTGAAATTGGGATCTTAAAACGCTTGAAAGATTATGTACTCTGGATCATATACTAATTTGTGTGAAGAATGATGTTGTTTAAAGCAGCCTAGTGAACTACAGCCTACATAAAACCTCTAGACTACTTTCTTAGCTTTTCTTATATTCTCAAAATCTTCAATCCCTATCCAAAACATGTTTTGTATTGCTGCTGAGCATTTGTCATTTTTTCTCATCTTCCATCCAAGAGAATTCTATATTGTTGCATATTTTAAATGTTGGTTGTGAGATTTAAGAATACTGAGAATAATTTCTAAAGTGTATCAGATACAACATGACCTATAAATGACGGAAAGAAGTTTCAATGAACCCTTATCCAACTCTGATCAGTTCATATGGTTTACTTCAGATTTATTTGCAAGAACTGCAGTTCAAACATAATTTTTCTCTACAATCTGGAACTGCTACTCTCTTTTTAGGTGTGTGAGATATTGAGAGAGAAAAAACCGAGGGGAAAAAAAAGTGTTCTCACTCCAAGTTTTCCAGGTATTTTGTCATCCTCAGTAAATGTAACACTATCCAAAGGCAGAAATTATTAGCAACTAAAATCTAATGACTTGAGAAGTTTGTGTGTAGAAGAAGGGTCACAGGCACAAAAAATTGGGATGCTGCTTTTGCCACAAGAGTAAGATAGCAAAAGTGCAGTCAGCTCTCTGAGGAGGCATAAATTCTATCTAACGGTGAAGTCTGAAATATAAGGGCATAACAATAAACATAGAAATACAGTAGGAATGTTTGCCTTTCATACTTAGTTGTCACAAATGAATCTATCTTAGGCTATTTTTAAAACATAACTGAAATAAATAAAAAGTATCAGTCATTTCAATGGCCCTTGCAAAAGCAGTTTCTTGTTCATGGCTCATTTTCTTTGGACAGGTGTCCACCAGCAAAGAAATGCCAGGACTGCTAATTAGTTCTCTTTTAAAGAATCTCAGAAATAAATGCATGAGGCACAACCTCAAATCAAAGCATTGTCACTTTCAGTCCTTCAGTGCAGGATTTAGGCTTTCTGATAACTTGGATGGTGGTAATATAGGCTTTGCTCACTCTTTCTTTTAGGGTTAATAAATAAACATGTTCATAGCCCTGAGGGCACTTGTGCAGCAGCAATAAATTCTGAAGGCTGTGTAGAGATGGTAATAACTATTATGCCTTTCACACCACTGTAAATACATAGCAGGATAATGGAGGCCAATCATCATTAACATCATTTGCTAGTAGTCCAATTCTGTGTGTGAAATGAGCACGTAGGTCTTGGCCTTCCTGAGTGCTGAACAGGTGAATCCATAAAAAGACAGACCACAGACCACAGCCACATCCAGCCCCCCACTGGGTCCCTTGTTGACTCTTTTAGTAAAGACAACAACTAATGAGCAAGAATGAATGCTGAACTTCCTAAATACAGCTGCCTGCTAAGGTTTAGTTATGAACAACAGATACTGAGCATACAGAAACAGCCTGCCCTGCTACTTTCTGTACTGAGTCTACTCTGATTGTAAACCAAGGACTCCCCTCTTTTGGGCTACCCTCATTGACATCAAAGGATTTAAAACTGAAACCACTCACAAATTGGAGCACAGGTGTATCTCTTGAGGTTAATAAGTGGGGACATTGTGATGTTGCCAGTATGCAGCAATGAAGAAGGAAAAGCTTGTTTTAAGTCACATCTTAATGCAACTTCAGATAAAAACAGTACTATACATTTTAAATACATATTCTGCCTCTATCCATTTACCTCAGAGTTTTATAGTAAACCTTTCATCACTGTATGAATGTCTGTTTACATCATTCTCATTTGCCCATTTCATACTCACCACCATCAAAAGATATATATCCTACATTGAAAACAAAGGACTATACCCCATAGATTTGGGAACAATGTGGAGGAGCTGAAAGTTAGTGAGTGCATCCCCCAGCACCATCTTAAAGCTAAAGAATAAGGTGTATGCTATGAAACTTCTTAGACTGAAATGAGGACCCACTTACCTGTTATAGTGGATCATGCATCAAAGCAGCTGACAATGTCTGTGAAAGCTGGAGGGATTACCCTTATTACTTGAAAGCAATACAGCTAGGCTGACTACAAAGAGGAAGAAAAAAAGCATTGACAGAGCTGAGAGGTAAGATCTGAGCCTAAACATAAAATGCTTTAGCCTACAGACTTCATTGAAACAAGCCTCTTCCTCAGTAAGGTAAAAAAGGCAGACAACAGTAAGAGCTTCACTGGAAGGAGAGCCACCATATACACTTTAATGAAATTCAATTCATTCTGTAATTGGGTCACATCAGTAAAAATGAATGCAAATTTATGGGCTTACAATGTGTTTCACAGTAATGAATGCTTAATAAATCAGTTTTGAAAAACAATGGGTTTGTATTCTCACCCCAAACCTCCGTCCTATCATTAACCAACCCTACAAATGCCCCGAGAAAGTATGGTATCAACTATCTACAGCACACATGCAACAGAAATCAGGATGTAGCTCAAAACTTGTTACCTTTTTAATTAGGAGTTTATGTCCTCACCTTCTCCCATCAATGCAGGCAGCTCAAATTATAACAAGATGAGTACTTAAGAAATCAGTACTTTGGGGTGCTGATGTCATTAGTTGAAAACTCCACAGGAAAGCCAGGCGTGATGTGGGTTCCAGTAACACAACACTATAAAAAGAAGCCCCAGTCCCACCATCTTTTCAAAAAGAAGAAGAAATTACTCAGAGGCCTTTTAAAGAGATTTTATTTTAACAAGAGAGAAATCCATTTCCTCTACACTTGGAATGTAGGTCTCAAGGAAGTACAAATTGTTTTCTAAGATGATGGAATTACTTATTGGAATATATGTTAATTTAACAGGATTAAAAGCACTTAACGTGCAAGTCTCCTTCTCTGCCATGCTTGCAAATAGAAGCTGAAGTATTTGTTTGAATTTCACAGAAGCACAAAATATTCTGAGCTGGAGGAGAACCACAATGATCATCTAGTCCAACTCTTAACTGAATGGCCCAAACTTAACTGAATGGAGATCAAAACCATGAGCCTGGTGTTATTAGCACCATGCTCTAACCAACTGAACTAAAATTTATTCCAGTAGAGACCTCCACTTCTTGGAAGGTTCCAGTCTTTTCATTAGACCTCTACTGTCAGAAAAAATCACAATCACTTAGGTTGGAAAAGACCTTCAAGATCATGGAGTCCAATCTTTGACCAATCATCCCTTTGTCAACTAGTCCATAACAGGAAGTGCCACCTACAGTCACTTCTTGAACATTTCAAGGAAAATCTCACCGACTCAAAAGGAATTAAGTCCCCAAATATTGTTAGGGTCCATATATTGTATTTCAAGACATGTTTGTATTAGGTTTAGGTAAAAAGAGATCTTAATCACAACTGCTATTCCTTTGGAAGTTTCATCTGGGGGACTCAGGCTAATAAAATGAAATGCTAGACACATGAAAAGAGCATGGAAAGTAAGATCATCAAAAACTTTTACCCTTCCTTGGACTTCAGAGGAGCCAGTTCCCTCTAGCTGCAAGCATTTTTATTAAAGCCAGATTAGTCCTGCTGCTGCATCTACAACACATTTGCAGAAGTGGATGGCAGAGGATTAGTAGCATGCTTCTGTGCTGCTAATGTGAAATAGTTCTTTCATGCACTACCCTGTATTTATTTCTCAATCTGTACAATATGAAATTCACTAAATCACAGCAACACTCTGTTATCCCAAATTTGCAGTGTAAATAAATATTTACTCAGTTAATTTATCTTGCTATAAACTGTATGATTGCAATACATATTTTCCACTGTTCCAGCAGAGCAACATCCAAGCAAGGCCTTGGGGTTGTGCTCTTTGCTCTAGCTCTAACTTGCTGTGTCACTGGGGAGTAATCTTTTAACCTTTCTGTGCTGTGTTTAATCTAAATGTAAAATGAACTGATATTATAAACGCCCCTGAAGTTTTTCCATCCCAAGTGTGTTGTAAGGCTTAATTAATTAGTGACTGTGAGGCACTTCATGTGAAAGTGCTTAATGTGAAAGACAGTGTATACTGAGGTACTGTGATTGCTTGTCATGTTTATTAATTCTGAATAGCACCAGAAAACCATTTTCAAAATATATTTTCCATGTATTTTAGAATCTGGTTAGGCAGAATTATTATAGGGAAATTTATGACTGCAAGACTAATTCACAGTTTTTCAGACCCCTGTCTCAGCTCTGGAAAATCTCCTCGTACTTGGCTCCCCAGCTTGTTCTCACAGATCCTCCATGCACCTAAAACCCCCTAGTACTTGAGTCTGAATGGAGTCAGGAGGCTACCTTCTGCCAGATCCCAAGGCATTCTCACAGGAAACTGTCTACATCACCTAGAGAGGTGCTAACACCAAGAGGGTTTACTGGTTAAGGGCAGCTTTTTCAGAAAGAAGGATGCTTTAAATTCAGTTGTGTTTCAGAGTGTGGAGATGGACTGCTGCAGCATGTACCACTCAGACATTGGAAGGGACTAAAAATAATAATAAAAAAACAATAACTGCCAGGGACTAGATGATCTTTAAGGTTCCTTCCAATCCAAGCCATTCTGCGAAGATGGTCTGACTTCTTGCCCAAGGTTTATGATTCTCTCTCCATGCTTAGATGTTTCCTTATGTCATTGCTGGTGATCTTCTACCTCCCTCCCCGCCCCCCCCCGCCCCAATACTTGTTTTTCAGTCACTGAGTTAACAGGGCTTTTTTGTCTCTGACTGGTAGTGATGCTCTGGACTGTCCACCAGAGAAAGACTTTACTGCCCATCAAAGATTTTGTATCCTTACAAACCTCCATGGCATATCTTTATGAATGACTGCACAAAATCTACCACAATTTATAGGAGATTCATAGGTTCCCTCAAATCATCTCAGCCCTATCAAAATGTCTTCAGATAACAGACACACAAAACTTCCATTACTGTGCTTTCTCTTCCCTAATCATTTCCATGGATCATATAATTTTACTCAGGGTAGTAAACAAACTTAGAAGAACTAAGAATATTAAAGTACATCAAATTAGGTCATAAACTATGTAGTAGGCTGCAGTTCTATTCACTGAAAAATCAGAGATTTAAACCTGTAATAATTCTTTTATGCTGTACATTTTTATTTTAAAAATGTTTTCTGCATTAAATATTCACAGATACGTGTAGATATATTCTAGAACTACAGAAAACTTTAAGGAGTTTATGAATTTTTACAAGAATTTTAATACATACAATACTCCCTTTTGTCTAAGTGATGTTATCATGTTAAGCATTTAAGAAAACAACAACAGCACCAAGGAAGAAAAAAAACTATGTTGAAATTTCAGTTGTTGTTCTGAACAAAAATATTTGATCTCACAAATATGGAGTCATAGAGCATCTCAATGATTTTATTCTTTTATTATGGAATAAATGAGACCTCAAATGCGAGCAAGTGTTTAGTCCATAGTAATTAGGTCAGGTGAGATTTGGAAGAAATGGAAAGCCTCCTGGAACTATCACCATTGTGTCTATTTCACCTAAAACTGATATGACTTTGCTCCAGCAAGTTAATGAGCATTTCAGCTATTACTTCATTATGAACAAAATCATTCTTTTCAATTATATATGATTAGATTAAAAGCTCCCCAAAATGATCTACAATTACTTGTAAATTATTAATATGACAAATACTTTCAAAATGTTCTAGGCAAGCTAAAACTTCTGAGTTTTCACATAGCATTTTGCTAAGCTTTTAATGGTAATATTTCTTTGTGTTTTTTACCAAAACTTTGAATAGGATGAATATTTGCTATGTCAAAAGGACTACGTATCTACAGTCATTTAACAAACAGTACCAGCAACTGAGCCCCCATGGAATACACAGATGTATATGTGCAAACTGTCCAATGGACACTGTCACAAGTTGGCAGGCAGTGAAGTACCAGTGCCTAAGCCATGAAAGAAGCCAGGAATCCTGATCTGCAATTCCTTCTCCAAGCACAAACACAGCTAATCCTGGCAAATCCTTAAGTACCTTTTGAAGGTCACTGTTTTTAATGTTACCCAATTATTCTATTAATATGGGTTTATTTATATGATTGCTTCCTTTGTGGTATTCAAAACTTGCCTAGATTAAACACAAGAATTTATATAGTAGTTAAATGTACAGCATTAGCATTGAATGACCTACAAATGACATTTTTTAATGGAACTAATTCTCAAAACACAATCAAACTTCAGAGCTAGATATGTTACAGTAGCTCCTATAGAAAAAGAAAAGCAGTGTTCTGTTAGGTTTAAGGTTTCAATTACATATTTTATTTGTGTTTGAGAAATCTGTAAAACAAAAGGGTTTGCCCCTTCATAGGATAACAATCTGACCTCCTGTGACCATCCAAACTCCTGTTCTGTACTGCAATATTTCACATCAGAGGAGGCATTAGAGACCTTTTGTTCCCTGTGTCAAATCAAATCTCCTATGTTATATTCTGGGCTCCAGTTCCTTAGGCTAAACTGCGTAATTCTCATGCTTCAATTGCAAAAAAATTTAGCTCAAAACTCAAGATGAGAACTGACATTAATAGAAAAGATATTTTGCTGTGAAAGTGGATAGTCTGAATCAGTTGACATTCTGTAAGTGCTCTGAGATATTCAAATGAATGTTGCCAGCACTAATACCAAGTACGAGCTGTATTACTATTAACGCCATCTAACAAAAATTGCTGTTTTAAGAAAGAGGTTTTGCTATTTTTACAGTTAGGCTACTAATGCAATTGGCTAAGAGAGACAAAGCTAATGGTATAACAAATTATTCAAAGAATTACTAGAAAATAATTCCACTGAGAGGTTTAGGTGACATCTTTAACCATAAGAGATCCACCTACACACAATTTCTAAATATTTATAACAACACAAGGAGAAAATTAATGCTATGTAAATCCCTGCAGAATACTTATTTTGCTGGAAATTATTATATTGGAATAAGAGATTCTAATTTACTTATGTGAATATATGAAAATTAAAGCATTAATTATTCATACAAATAAAATGAGAAAATTAATATAGGCTGTATATTAAAGTTGCAATACGATATGACCTGATCCCCTCCTCCATGGAAATGGAACCTGCTGCTTTCTCAACTGTGCAAAAGTGCCACACAAAAGTTGGATATTTTCAAGCTGTGAAAATGTTCTCAACAATGCAGGATTTGGATACAAAGTTTCAAGAATCCAAGCCTGTTCGACACATTTTGTGTCTTCAAGAGCAAACTGCTACCCTTTCTTCTAGTTCTCATCTTACCCTGATACTTCAAGGTTTATTTGAAAAGCCTGACTCCAAACATGTCACTTTAGAAGAAATCAAGATTTGCAATATTACCAAAGCTTGAAGTTCTACCAGTCTTCAGTAGGATTTCATGTTAAGCTGAAGCATCTGGTAAGTCTGTAATTGCATGTGCATTTTCAAGTTTAAAAGGAAAAAAAAAATACTTGAAGGATATATTTCTATGGAGGGGAGAGAAGGGAGAGAGGGGAGAGAGGCTCTCATGCATTTAAAAGCAAGAAAAATGCACATAAAAGCACTTTCTCTAGAACTACAGAAAGCCAAGGACACTCCTTAGTCTCTGCACCAATTCTCAATGGCTTATACCTCAGTGGACTGCAATGAGACAAGCAACTCGGACAGTGGCCTTAGACCCCATGGCAGCTTCATTAAGCAGCACTCCAAATCATCAGTGAATATTTAGAAGAAAAAGGAATCCCCATAGAGATTTTATAAATATGTTGATTGGTTTCTCATGGCCCTGCAAGGGTTAGAAACAATGGTCTGAAAAAAAAATTTCTCCTACATTTATTGTTTCTATCTCTGGGCAGATTCAGAACAAAGTTATTAATGATGCCCTAAAAACAGAACCCTTTGCCAAACTGTCTGTGGCTCAAGTCCCTGCAATATCAGCTGTGTTTTAAAGATCTGACTCCTGTGGCAAGCTGTGCAGCAGGTCTGCATGCAAGACCAAATTTTCAGAGTGATGGTTCTGTGTTTCCATTAAGCCACATGGAAGTAAAAGAAGACTGAATCAATGGTTCAGGAATAC